ATGTTTCTGCAAAGGACATAATCTTGTTCTTACGTGGCTGCATGGTATTCCATGGTATATATGTACTACATTTTCTTTATCCAGTCTACCACTGATGGACATTTAGGTTGATTCCATGTCTTGGCTGTTATTAATAGTGCTTCAGTGAGCATACATGTGCATGTGTCTTTAAGATAGAATGATTTATATTTCTTTGGTTATATACTCAGTGATGAGATTGCTGGGTTGAATGGTCATTCTGGTTTTAGCTCTTTGAGGAATCACCACACTACTTTCCACAGTGATTGAACTAATTTACACTCCCACCAACAGTGTAAAAGTGTTCCTCTTTCTCTGCAGTCTCTCCAACACCTGTTATTTTTTGACTGATTAATAATAGCCATTCTGACTGGTGTGAGATGGTATCTCATTGTGGTTTTGATTTGCACTTCTCTAATGATCAGTGATATTGAGCTTTTTTTTTATATGCTTGTTGGCCACATGTATGTCTTCTTTTGAAAAGTGTCTGTTCATGTCCTTTTCCTACTTTTTAATGGGCTTTATCAAATATTATCTTATTTTCTTGTAAATTTGTTTAAGTTCCTGATAGACGCTGGATTTTAGACCTTTGTCAGATGCATAGATTGCAAATAGTTTCTTCCATTCTGTAGGTTGTCTGTTTAGCTCTTCTGCACAGCAAATGCTCAACATTTTTAGTCATTAGAAAAATGCAAATCCAAACCACTTTGAGATACCACGTCACATTCACTAGGATGGCTTTAATTTTATTTAAAAGATGGAAAATAGCAAGTGTTGGTGAAAATGTGGAGAAATTGAGAGCCTTGTATATTGTTGGTGGGAATGTAAAATGTGCAGCTGCTGTAGAAGAGTTTAGCAGTCTGTCAAAAAGAAGAACATAGAATTACCATGTGACCCAGCAGTTCCATTTCTAGGTATATGCCCAAAAGAATGGAAAACAGATACTCAAATAAATACCTGTACATTAATGTTCATAGGAGACTATTCACAATAGCGAAAAGGTGGAAACAACCCAAATGTCCATCACCTGATGAATAGATAATGAAAATGTGGTACAGCTATACAATGGAACATTATTCAGCCACAAAAGGGAATGAAGTACTGATACATGTTACAGTGTGGGTAAACCTTGAAAACATTATGCTAAATGAAAGAAGTCTGATACGAAAGGTCACATACGATTTTATTTATCCAGAATAGGTAAATCCTTAGAGATAGAAAGCAGATTGTGGCTGCCAGGAGCTAGGATGGGTGGGGAGTGGGGGAATGGGGTCTACTGCTTGATGGATTTTTTTTTTTTTTTTGAGACAGAGTCTTGCACTGTTGCCCAGGCTGCAGTGCAGTAGCACAATCTTGGCTCACTGCAAACTTCACCTCTCAGATTCAAGAGATTCTCATGCTACCCCTCATGAATCAAGAGATTCGAGCAGTTGGGATTACAGGCATGTGCCACCACGCCCCGCTAATTTTTGTATCTTTAGTAGAGACAGGGTTTCACATGTTGGCCAGGCTGGTCTCAACCGTGACCTCAAGTGATCAGCCCACCTCGGCCTCCCAAAGTGCTGGGATTACAGGCATGAGCCACTGCGCCTGGCCAATATGGCTTTTCTTTTGAGGTAATGAAAATGTTTTAGATCTAGAGGTGATGGTTGCACAACATAGTACACTTGAAATGCCACTGAAATGTTTGCTTTAAAATGGTTAATTTTATGTTATATGCCTATCACCTCAATCTTTTAAGAAATTTAATTCAAAAATAAAATTATTTTTTATTAGTTTCTCATTTAACATCATTTATCAATGACCAATGAAGCACTAGTCATATCAGGTAAATGGGCTACTACATGTTCTTTAAGATTTTCTTATATGTGCCTCTTGAGAAAGGATTTATTACTATTCATTTCTCAGGTGAACTATTCCACCTGCATGCTTTCAGGGAGCTTGATGTTAATTATCCCACCACAGAAATATAAGAAGGATTCTGAGCCTTTACTGTTGGAGCCAAACTAGAAATTAACAAAAAAAAAAGTTTTTGAAATCTCCCTTTGGCAAGTAGCATCTAAGAATGAAGGGAAAAATCTCAGAGTGTGATGACTCTCCATGTGACAATGTGCAGTTTTTCCTCATCATCTCAACCTACACTGTCCAATACAGTAGCCACCAGGTATTTTCTTTTCTTTTTTTTTTTTTTTTTTTTTTTTTTTTGAGACGGAGTTTAGCTCTCGTTGCTTAGGCTGGAGTGCAATGGTGCTATCTCGGCTCACTGCAACCTCTGCCTCCCAGGTTCAAGCAATTCTCCTGCCTCAGCCTCCCAAGTAGCTGAGACTACAGATGCCCACCACCATTGCCAGCTAATTTTTTGTATTTTTAGTAGAGATGGGGGTTCACCATGTTGGCCAGGCTGGTCTCAAACTCCTGACCTCAGGTGATCCACCCGCCTCGGCCTCCCAAAGTGCTAGGATGACAGGCATGAGCCACCATGCCCGGCCTCCACCAGTTATTTCCCATAGCCACATGTTGCTGTTCAGCAGTTAAAATGTGGCTAGAGTGACAGAGCAACTGAATTTTTCATTTTACTTGATTTTAATTAAAATTAAGATTTAAAAATTTATTATTGCTTCAGTTACTGAGAAACTTTTAAATATGTTTGGAACAATTTGGTTATTTAAATCTGCATGTTTTAACTGTACATTTTATGAAATCTACATACACTCCAGATTCCAGAAGCTTAGTTAAAAAAAAAAAATGCAACATATCTCAACTCAAAAAATATTGATATGTTGCAATTAATCTTTTTGTATTTTATTTAAGGGGTTACATAAAATCTACTTTTAAAATTATTTTACCATTCTTTTTCTAATGTGGCTATTAGGAAAAAAAAATTTTGTTGAAACTAGTCTCACTATGTTGCCAAGACTAGACTTGAACTAGTGGGCTCAAGCGATGATCCTCCCACCTCAGCCTTCCAAGTAGCTGGGACTACAGGTGCACACCATTGCACTTGTCTCTAAAGAAATTTAAATTACATATGTGCCTCACATTTTATTCCATTTACTCAATGTTGTTCTAGACTTTGTCAATGAGGTCTTTAGTAATTGGCATCCTTTTTTTTTTTTTTTTTTTTGAGACGGAGTCTCGCTCTGTCACCCAGGCTGGAGTGCAGTGGCCGGATCTCAGCTCACTGCAAGCTCCGCCTCCCGGGTTCACGCCATTCTCCTGCCTCAGCCTCCCGAGTAGCTGGGACTACAGGCGCCTGCCACCTCGCCCGGCTAAGTTTTTGTATTTTTAGTAGAGACGGGGTTTCACTGTGTTAGCCAGGATGGTCTCGATCTCCTGACCTCATGATCCGCCCGTCTCGGCCTCCCAAAGTGCTGGGATTACAGGCTTGAGCCACCGCGCCCGGCCAGTAATTGGCATCCTTAATGCTTTAGACTCAAGAAAACTGAAGAAAGGCAACTAGAATTTGGAATATGCCACAAAGTAAGCACTCCAAAACGAGGTCAAGTTTTCAACCTCCAGGCTTCCCATAGTGCCCCCATCACAATGACCTTGGTATCTGTGAGTGGCAAGTCAAGATGCTTTTTTTAAATAAATAGAAGGTAGGCATGGCTAATATTTTCATGCCTGGTGGTATTCTTTTGGAAGTCCAAATAAATCCTTGATAATGACAGAGTGCCATTGCCTCAAGATAACTCACCAGCTTCTCCCCTACCCCACATTTGACATCATTTGCTGGCCTACATAAAGAATTCCAGGCCAGGCACGATGGCTCACCCCTGTAAGCCCAGCACTTTGGGAGGCCAAAGTGGGTGGATCACCTGAGGTCAGGAGTTTGATTCCAGCCTGACCAACATGGTGAAAACCCATCTCTACTAAAAATACAAAATTAGCCGGGCATGGTGGTGCATGCCTGTAATCCCAGCTACTCAGGAGGCTGAGGCAGGAGAATCGCTTGAACCCAGGAGGTGGAGGTTGAGTAAGCCAAAATCATGCCATTGCACTCCAGCCTGGGCAACAAGAGCAAAACTCTGTCTGGGAAAAAAAAAAAAAAATTCCAGAAGTGGGTTAGGTTCATACCTAGAATTCATTCAAGAAACTGCAGAAATCCATAGGCTTATGGGTAAGAAACAGAGAGAAAAAAATCACTTCCCCACAGCGGTCAGACAGAGAGGTTTACCACGTAGCTTATTCGAGGAGAAACTCTTCTGTCTGGATTGAGTCCTTAGATTCTGGCCACTTTGCCCCCTAAACCATACTTGTGATATTGGGGTAATCTCATTTCCCATCCAATACCCTCAAATGCTGTGTGGGTATAGATACATGGCATAAGTGAGACATCTCACTTTCAGAGGATGACTAGAGATCATAAAAAACATTAAGACTATCTGAACATTTGTCATGGAAGCATGAAATTCTTTCCTTGCTCACTTCTCATGGATTGCAGGCTGATTTCTTCTCTTGGATTCTTTCTTTTACTCATGAGTTAGCATAAGCAAGAGTTTGATTTTAATGAAAGGCCTTTTTATTTAAGTCTGAAATTGGAGACTTTCATAAAAATGAAGAAACATTTGCTAAATTTTAGCTAATAAAGTATAGTAATATTTTATTGTTTGAACGTTATTATTTTTACTACATATATGTATACATAGACACTTTGCTAAGGAGTTTCATGCATTCATTTAATCCTCATAACTATATGTACTTGTACTATTCTTTTTTTTTTTTTTTTTTTTAAGTTTTGCTCTGTTGCCCAGGCTGGAGTGCAGTGATGCGATCTCAGCTTACTGCAACTCTGCCTCCCGGGTTCAAACAGTTCTCCTGCCTCAGCCTCCCAAGTAGCTGGGACTACAGGTGTGCGCCACCATGCCCAGCTAACTTTTTTGTATTTTTAGTAGAGTTGGGGTTTTGCCATGTTGGCCAGGCTGGTCTTGAACTCCTGACCTCAAATGATTCACCCACCTCAGCCTCCCAAAATGCTGGGATTACAGGCATGAGCCACCATGCCTGGCTACTATGTACTATTCTTATCCGCATTTTACCAATGAAGAAATTGAGGCACAGAGAGGTTGGGTCAGCTGCTTGAGATCTTACAGCTAGGAAGTAAGGAAAACAGAATTCAAACCCAGGTCCATCTAACACCAAAGCTGTTTCCAAAAGTTTGAAAGGAAAATAGCATCTTAGACATTTTGCTTACTAGCTTTCATTGTAAATGTAGTTACTCAAAATCTGTGGTCAAAGAGATCCTTTCCTTTAAACTGACAGAGGTTTTAATAAAACATTAAAAATATGTTTTTTATATGAAGGTTGTAAGGATGTCTCTAAGTTTGAAAAAGTTTTAAGCACCTGGATTCTTATGTGCTTATGTTTCAAACAGAGTTCACTCAACTTGAAAGTCATCCGTTCCTTAGTAAGTGCTGCCAATAGGGAATAAGAAAAAAATACTTTAAACAGAAAATTCTCCTTCTGTTTGGTGAACAGAGAAGTATTGTTGTTTGTTTTCTGAAGAGCACAGGAGATGGGGGTAGAGGTAGGGGTGTTTGTTTTGATGAGGTCTGCTTTGAAGAGCTCTTCTGAAGCTTTCCCAGGCGAGGCCAAGCAGGGGTGTGGGGTTTAATGCAGTACATACCCGTGAAGTAGGGGCCTGGTTCAGCTGCAAGTCATTTACACTTTCAGGATTCTCTCCAAAGAGGACCTTGGACCAAAGCAGGCTGAAAAAATCATACACTGAATTTCAAATTGTGATGGGACACCACAGAAGGAATAAAAATATTTGTAGGTCCTAAGTTTCTTGTGGTGCAGGTTAACTGAATTTGAGAAGAACCTGGAATTTTACCAATTTGGTAGACAGACTTATGCTGTCTGAGTGGTAGATTCTATGGGAAGCCTAGGAAAGTTATCTGGAAGCATTCTATGAATTATCTCTTAGCTATCGGAGTGCAGGCCCTACCATCTTTAGCCATACTTAAGAGAGGAATCAGAGCCTTCTCCAGTTGTTCCTCTGTTAATTTGATAATTTACTGGGTTCCACTTGCCTCCTCCGGAACTGAATTCTCCTAGATGCTCCAGAGAGAATAGAGGTACTGCTACTGCCACCCTGGCCTTTCACATGATCACCAGCTACATCCCAGATGGATGGAAGCCTCTAGTTTCTGAGCCATCTGAGTCAAGTAGCATGAACTGGAGATCAATGTAGCTGGCTTGAGAAGAAAACTCCAGCGATACCTGAAGTGTCCAAGTCTCACTTTTCCAATGACAAGTTTGTTACAGGAATTCATAGCCAGTACAAAATTACATCAATAAATTAGCAAATCATTCCTTAGTTCTTCCCTAGCCCCTCTGGAAGGAGAAAAGAAACAAGAAAGATAAACATCTGTTTAGCCGGGCGCGGTGGCTCACGCCTGTAATCCCAGCACTTTGGGAGGCCGAGGCGGGCGGATCACAAGGTCAGGAGATCGAGACCACAGTGAAACCCCGTCTCTACTAAAAATACAAAAAATTAGCCGGGCGCGGTTGTGGGCGCCTGTAGTCCCAGCTACTCGGGAGGCTGAGGCAGGAGAATGGCGTGAACCCGGGAGGCGGAGCTTGCAGTGAGCCGAGATTGCGCCACTGCACTCCAGCCTGGGCGACAGAGCGAGACTCTGTCTCCAAAAAAAAAAAAAAATACTCATTGTTGCAATCAGAGCTTTCTCTTTTAATTTTAGCTTTTTTCTTTATATAGGCAGTACTTATTATTTAGAAATGTAAATGATATTAAAAGGAATGAATTGAATGTCTCACTCTCGCCCCGTCACCATCCATCTCACAACCTAACCCCATTCCCCCTAAGTAAATGTGTTTTAAATATTCTTATGTACTTCTCTTCCAGGGTGCCTGCCTAGTGTTTCTTTAGGTATATATATATAAAGAAAATCAAATATATATTCCTGTTATTTCTCTTTTTTTTTTTGAGATGGAGTCTCGCTCTGTCGCCCAAGCTGGAGTAATCTTGGCTCACTGCAACCTCTGCCTCCCAGGCTCAAGCAATTCTCCTGCCTCAGCCCCAGCTACTCGATCCCAGAGGAGCTGGGACTACAGGCACATGCCACCATGCCCAGCTAATGTTTGTATTTTTTTTTTCTTTTGAGATGGAATCTTGCTCTTTTCACCAGAGTGACTGGAGTGCAATGGCACAATATCAGCTCACTGCAACCTCCGAATCCTGGGTTCAAGCGATTCTCCTGCCTCAGCCTCCTAAGTAGCTGGGACTACAGGCACGCACTACCACGCCTTTTAGTAGAGACGGGGTATTGCCATATTGGCCAGGCTGGTCTTGAACTCCTGACCTCGTGATCCGCCCGCCTGGGCCTCCCAAAGTGCTGGGATTACAGGTGTAAGCCACCACGCCCAGCCTAATGTTTGTATTTTTAGTAGAGACGGGGTTTCACCTTGTTAGCCAAGCTGGTCTCAAACTCCTGATCTCAAGTGATCTGCCTGCCTCCACCTCCCAAAGTGCTGGGATTACAGGTGTGAGCCACCGCACCTGGCCATTTCTTTCCTTTCCTTTTTTTTTTTTTTAACACAACAGACAGCATACTACAAATACCAATCTGTTCCTTGTCCTTTCTTAATACACCCTTGAGATCTTTCCTTATCAGCACATGATATGCTTCCTTTTTTAAATTAGAGCTGCATAGTATTCCATCATATGCCACACTTTATTTGGGTTATTTCAGTTTTCTGCTTTCACAAGCAGAGCAATCAAGGGTTTCTGAAAAGTTATTTCTGGGCTCAAACCTTGTTCCTTCCAGTCGCTCAAAATTCCACAGGCACGTATATGGCTGCTCAAGGAGCATATATTAAACTTTCACAGGTTAGAGATGGAAGTGGTTTTAGAGCTGATCTATTCCAACTCACTGGTTTAAATAAGAGGAAACCAAGGCTCCTATGAAGTGACTTCCCCAAGTTGCAGAGTGGTTGACCTGGGTCCAGAGCCCAGGCTTCCTGGTTCCCAGGCTGACATTGTTCCCGCTGGATCACACTGCTGGGTGCTGGGGTGTGGGGAAGGTATATAAATACCACTGGCTCCTCCAGGAGCATAAAACTCATTAGATACAAAGCAGAACATGGTAAGAGTCAAGAAAGAGTCACAAGGCCTAGAGGGGATTCTTTTAAGGGGGAAGACACCTGGTTAGAGGAAATCTGGAAAGGCTGCATAGAGAAGTTAGCATTCAGGATGGGCCTTGGAGGGTGGTTAGGATTTCACCAAGTAGAAAACGTGGAAGAAGGTTATTCCAAATGAAGAGGCCAGCAAGAGCAAAGACATGGACACGTGAAAACATCAGGCATCTTTGGGAAGCAAGGAGTCGAGTATGATTGGTGCATAATATGTGATTAGAAGAATACTAGTAACTTCATTGAGGTTATTGATCACCTACCTTATGCCAGGTGTTATTCTGAATGCTTCTTCAATGTTAATCTTTAATCTTCACAACCCCACGATGTAGGTGCCATTATTATCCTGCATTTTACCGGTGCGGACTCTGAGGCACACAGAGGGTAGGAATTTTCTCAGGTCATAAGGCACACAGCTAGTAAGGTTACATTTTGGGAAGTCTGAATCTAAAATAGTATTAACACTTCTCCGTGTTACCGGGAGATGAGACTGGAGACAGAAAGTGATCATATTTGAGAGGTTCTTGGAATTCATGTGGAGACACAAAAAGGTTTCTCCTACCATGGGTTGTAAAAAAAAAAAAAAAAAGAAGAGGATAAACATTTATGAAGTAGATACTATGTTTTCAAAAGATCATGTGTAATAGATGTTATTTCCCAGAGAATTCAGATGAGGGAACTAGGGTTCAGAGGAGGTAAGTAACTTGCCCAAAGCCTCAAAGCTCTTAAGTGGTGAAGAAAGCGTTGAGTACCCTGTGTCTGATCAAAAGCCCATGCTCTTTCACAGACAGTATTTTCCCAAAGTAACCCATGGAATACTCATGCCCAGCCTAGCTGGGGATGGGGTTTTGTGGTCAGCTCAGCTTGGAAAATGCTAAGATAACCAAGTTAGGCCTTCAGGTACTTTAATATGCTATTGTGCTTCATACATCAACCAAGAGGTAGACGTAGCATCTCACATTTCCAAAACTAAATTTGCCACAACACTTTCCTTTCCCACTCCTCCCAAGTCGTTTGCGTTTCACATTCAGCGGAAATCGTGCTGAGAGGGCTAGCAGTTTGGGAAGGCCTAAAGAGGCCATACTAGAGAAGCGAAAGGTGTATTTCCTGATCACCTGTGTCTGTTGCCACTCTTCACAGATACGTAATGCTAAAATTCAGAAAGGCTGTTGAATCTTACTTCTTGAGTAAAAAATACTTCTTGAGGGCTGCACAGAAGCTATCTAAACTTCCACATCTCAGAAAAGTGGTATTTTTTGTTTTGTCTTTGCATATGCGCATTCATTTAGGATTTTTCTTTTCGTTTTTTTTTTGTTGTTGTTGTTTCAAAATGAAAAGAACTTGATTTCCTTTTTTTTTTTTTTTTTCCCAGAGATCAGGTCTCACTGGGTTGTCCAGGCTGGACTTGAACTAACTCCTGGCCTCAAGTGATACTCCTACCTCAGTCTTTTCTAGTAGCTGGGACTATAGGGCACACATTGCACTTAACTCTAATGTTATGTCTAATGTAAAAATCTCCCAATTTCTATTCTAGTTCTTTTATACCCTGAGATAAAGATGTTGGGATGTTGAGAACCAAAAAATATATATAGGACATGCTTTCCTAGGTTATGGCTGTGTACCTAATTTCTAATTAACTGGTGGTTTAATATATAATCCAATGTTGCTATCATATCACTATAAAAGAGAATCTGTCCAAAAAGAATACCTTCACACTCTTCCTCTGAAAATCCTCATGAAATGTAAAACTTACACATGTGGCATGGCTGAACCAAATATGACCTTTGTCACTAAAAAGGAACCCTGCAAATCTTAAACACCGTATGAAAATAATATTCTTTGGGTCCAAATTCTGCCTATTAAATGACATTTTGTACACATTTATTATTGCATTTGATACATTGGGTAGAGTTTCCTTTTCAATTTCAGTATTTTAAGAATTTTGAGGTGCTTGGGAGGATTGTGGAATAGGCAGAAATGCTGTTGGTGGTGGTTTTATGACACCATAAAATGACTTCGTTGCAAGGATGAGAGTGATGCTTAACATCCGTTCTTATTTAGAGAGCTGGGATCTCGGTAAAGGCTTACATATAACTCCAGATGCTTGCAAAACAGGTAAAATCACTAGTTAGTAGTGTTATTTCATAGTTTTGGAGATATTGAATGGTGATCTCTTCAGATATAAGCTAGGATTGACTGTTAGGTATTTTTCCTAGGAAAGTTTTTGTAATAAGGTAGCTTGCTTCTGCTGCTACTGAAATTTAATTTCAATCACTCAAAGCTGTAAGCAAAGTCTAGGCTCCCTCTTTTACCAATTGTATTAAGACTTAGAGGTAGAATAGTTAGGATAATCATGGGCTCATTTTTGACCTAAGTCTATAGTTAGTGGAACCCAAATGAAAAATACAAATAAAATAGATTTGTTCATTCATAATCTCCCTTAGGCCAAAATGAACACTATATTGTGATGCAAATGCTATCAGAACAGATTGAAAAACAGAACAGTATTGTACAGGAAAGTTGAGAATGATGTTGATTGCAAACAAAATACAAGTTAATTAGGTTAACCTAATTAACTACATAACTACCAATGTAAGTATTTTCTTTCTTTTGTTCATCATATAACATGCACAAAAACTTTGAAATGTTTCTCAAGTATAGGCAACTGGGATCCCGAACCTATGAAACATACCAGACTGGTGAGAAGGTTCTCATCATAGGAACTGAGGGAATTAGAATTCTGTACAATGCTGATGGCTTCTTAGGTTATGGAGGCGGGTAGAATTCTGTGTTCAAGATCATCAGTTAAAGGAAACTTGAGATGGGCATCCTGAATTGTAACCTTGGCACTGCCTTCCCTGTGAGCTTAAACAAATGACATCATCTCTTGTGCCTATTTCTTTATCTCCCAATTTCTATTCTAGTTCTTTAAAAAACCTTAGGCATTTTGCATAGTAAATCTGGAACAAATCTAGGAAGGAAGAAGGGAGAAGGAGACAAGCACCTGGTTAGGAAGAGAAAGTTTCTGCATCAACCTTGTATTAGGTTTTACTGATGGTGTTTCATGTTCTGGACCATTTCTTATGCATTTATACATTTTCTCCTGGCCCTTGGAAAACTAAGTCTCCATGGAACATTTCACGAACGATCACCAGTGTTACAGTTCTACTAAAATGACTGGGGCCTATTTATAAACCACAGGAAATTGTTCTTGCTCAGGATACAGTCTGAATAAGTCATTTTAAAAATGGAAAATGCTGTCAATCATCCATATGTTTTTTAATTTACTGTTTCCTAAACTGGCCTTAAGTATTCCTGTCTCTATACCTTTGTTCATGCTGTTCCCAAAGCTTGGGATGCCCTCCCCATTTCTTCAAATCTTCTCCTCCTTTAAGGCTCAGCTCAAGTTCCACTTTTTTTTTTTTTTTGGTAGAAATTTCTTTCCTTTTTGACATATCTTCCCACCCCCCACAACCAATGGATCTCTTTTTTTCTGGTAACTGTGAGTCACTTGCAGCCTGTAACATATCACTTATCATTCAGTTAAGGCCCATCCTATATTGTTCTCTCCTTTTTGCCATTGCATAAAACTGGGCTTTCCAGAGCGATTGTAAATCCCTTGAGGAGAGGGTCTGACATGGCAACCAACTCAGAGCTAAGACGGGGATGGCATTTGGCATTGCTGGTACAGGGTGGTCATTTTCAAATGATCTAAAGCCGAATGAAAGTTACAGAAAACCCATTATGTGACACAGACAAAACTGAGTATTGCGGTTGAGGCTGGGGTACAGGTGGGCACACTGGCATCCTGTGAGCTGGACCCCACCATCTACCCTTTTCACTGAGTAGGGCTGGGAGCACCCTTGGGGTTCACTCTCCCTTTCTCCCCTGTGCTGTTGGCACTCTATGTTCTCAGGCTTTCCTGCTGGGAACATAGCCTTCCCTACTACTCGGGCTTCCTGGTTCCCTTCCTTGGGGCTTAGGCATAAATGTGTCTGTCTGAGCTGAGCTGTTAAGACTTGAGTGTAGGAACTTTACATACCCTCTCCAAATTGCAAGCACGTGATCTGATCCATGGATCTCCAACTAGTCAGCTGGAGAACTCAGTATGGCTAATCAAGGAGCAGTCCTTTCAGCCATATTCCCAGCTTCTTCCTGCCCGGCATAGAAAAATGCCTGCATGTTTGAAATTCTGAAGAGCTCCCATAGGGCTTCCTATCAACACAAACATACTCTCCCCATAAGCAAAATTCTCCTCTCTACTTCATACTCTCAGTTAATTGCAAAGAAACAGAGTAAACAAATGTCCAGTGGTATTTTAATGACACAGATACGTCCCCATCGGAACAGCAGGAACACAATGAAAAGTAGCCGTACCATCTACTCTTTGGGCTTGGGATCCTCCCAACCCCTCTCCACCCCAGCCCTGCACTACACACTTCTAAGGTTGGCTGCCTGGGCTGCCTGCTCTCCGTGGCTTCATGCTTGGATTCTTACTCCTCTTTTGATTTGTCAAATTTGATTATTAGATCAACAATGGGTTTACCTTTGACTTCACACCCTGCTGACCCCCCTGGATGTGGGGATCTAGTTTTTACTCCAGACCCTAACTCAGGCCCTGGCGATCTCAACAGTAGTTCACTGATCATGCAGTGGCTCTTCTGGTCCCACCTGATCCTGGCCACGTCAGCCAATTCAAGACACAAGATCCTGCCAGCCACACATGGCAAACCACACATGTCCGCTAGAATCTGGGGCTATTTTCCAAGAGAGTCTTGCCTGGCCCTGACCTGTCTGTGCAGCCAACCCATTTCCATTCAATTCCAAACCCTTGATTCTCAACTGCAATATTGGTTGTCTCCAGATTTGAGGTTGTATGTGCTCTTCCAGGTATTTAGACTTGAACTTACCTCTACAAACCTTGGTCTTGGTCACCTATGTGGCTCTCTGTGCTCTCAAGAGCCCTGTGCCTGTCCTACCCCCTCAACAAGGGAAGTCACTCTTTCACTGTCAACATTTGGGGGGCATTCCATTGGTCTCCGAAAAAGTGGGTATAAGGCCAGGCATGATGGCACATGCCTGTAATCACAACATTTTGGGAGGCCGAGGCAGACCGATTACCTGAGGTCAGGAGTTCAAGACCAGCCTGGCCAACATAGTGAAATCCTCTCTCTACTAAAAATACAAAAATTAGCCAGCTGTGGTGGCATGGGCCTGCAATCCCAGCTACTCAGGAGGCCGAGGCAGGAGAATTGCTTGAGCCTGGGAGGGAGAAGTTGCAGTGAGTGAGGTCGCACTACTGCACTCTAGCCTGGGCAACAGAGAGAGACTCCATCTAAAAGAAGAATGGGTATAAGCCAGTCAAGAAAACTGTTTTAGGGAGAAGGGCTGTTGCCTTCTTTAAATTCTGTAAATCAGGAGGTTATTCTTAGAGGGAGATATAAAATGAGGGTTGTATAAATCTGGAGTCTTAGTGTAGTTGAGAAAGTGTTACACACATTTTATAAAGAACAAATGATTTAATCTCCTCCATCATTCTACCAGATGGATTGAGGCCTACTGGGAATATGTTGTGAGGGAAATATTTATTAGGAGGATAAGGAAAGGACTTAGGACTCTTTTGTGATCCATCTTCCATAAGCAGTCAGTTTGCTTTGTCTTTTGTATTTTTTTTTAAAGAAAAAAAAGTGTTGGCTCGAACTCCTAGTGCTTTCTTATGTAACAAAAAAGTCAGGCAAAGGGCATGCCTTGGTGCAACGTGGACTCAGCAGACTGCCTGCATGACTAGAAGTGTGGGGAGTTGGATACTCTTGCTCCCTGAAGATGGTCATGCAGTTCCTCCTCAAGTGTTGAGCCCCTTTCCGGCAGAAGGGTGTGTTAGGGCAGGCCGTTATGATGCCTTGTCCACTGCTGGCATTCAGCAAGGGTTAAGTAAATCATAATAGTTTTATGGTGAGAGTACTGAATTTGGAGGCTAGGTTTCCAAAGCCAGTTCTCCTAATTGAATGTGTGTAAGTCACATAGCCCATCGGAGTTCCTTTGCTCATCTGTAAAATGGTAAGGGTTGATCCCACAATTCCTATAAGATCCCCTACAGCTCAGAAATTCCCCGATTCCCCAACTTGATAATAAATTACAATTCATATCTAAGCACTCATTGAAAAATCTATAAACCAGGAAAGATATTCTAGAAATGAATATATTGGCATTTCTCAACAATCAGAGTAATAATTAGAGTTTAAGTTTGATAGAAAATCATCTTGTTCTTCTCTAAATTACCAGGATTAAATAAGAAAAAAATATATATAGAAACATCTAGCATGAAGGGGCACAATAAACTTCAGTTAAAGGGACATTTTCTATCCCAGCATTTCCCAAAATGTGATCCTAGGAATACTAATTCTGTCATGTAGATTCACCCATGCAGTTGTGTTCCATGAAGGTCCTTTATAATGTTTTTTCCATATGTGTGTAAATTTAGAATCCAGTCAGATATCACATATTGTGTTTAATTGTCAGGTCTCGTTAGTTGTTCATAATCTAGAACCCATGACTCTTTTCATTTTTCATAACATCGACACATTTTAGGAGTCCAGGTTAGTTATCTTGTAGCATCTCACACAATCTGGATTTATCTGATTGTTGTTTCCTCATGTTTAGCTTCAGATTTAACATGATCCTGAATCTAATCTAGCTATTTCTAGGGGTTGGCAAGAAAGCTATGTAAGTGATGTTCATACTGTTATTTTTTAAATTGTTTTTATTTTGCCCTTAGTATATGACCAAATATTACAGAAATACATGAGATAGAAACGGAAGATACTCCAAAATGCCACCCCCCAGAAATAGCTAGTATTTATATTTTAGTATATATGACACTAGATTTTTTTTCCTCTGCATGTAACAAAATTGAATCATTTTCTAAATCATTTTTATAACTTGCTCTTTTTACGTGTTGCTGTATCTTGGAACCCTTTCTGTGTAAGTACATATAGATCTACCAAATTCTTTTCAGAGGTTTGTTTCCAGTGTTTAGCTATTAGGAACTATGCACATCATTCATGTACATTTGTCTTTGTGTACTTAGGGAAATGTTTTCTATAGGTTACATTAGTAGTAGTAAAATGTGGGGTTCAATTTTAGTAAGTATTGCAAGATTGCCAACACAAAACATTATATCAATTAATACACTTATGAACAATGTATGAAAATGACTGTTTTCTCATATCTTATCCTGGTTTTATCCCTTAAAAATCTGGCTGGGTACAGTGGCTCACACCTGTAACCCAAGCACTTTGGGAGGCCCAGGTGGGCAGATCACCTGAGGTCAGGAGCTCCAGCCTGGCCAACATGGTGAAACCCTGTCTCTACTAAAAATATATAAAAATTAGCTGGGCATGGTCAGGGATGCCTATAGTCGCAGTTACTCAGGAGGCTGAGGCAGGAGAATTGCTTGAACCTGAGAGAGAGAGGTTCCAGCCTGGGTGACTGAGGGAGACTCTGTCTTTAAAAAAAAAAAAAAATCTGTGCCAATTGGAAGTGAAAATTTCTATCTCATCATCATTTGAATTTGAATTTTTAAACTACAAGCAAGGTGGATTATGTTTTCATATGTTGATTTCCTGCTTTTTGTTCCTTTTCCTGAACTGCCTGGATATTCCTTTGCCTATTTTCCTAGAGAGTTATCTTTTCTTATTGATTTGTAAGATGCATTTTTATATTAAAGAAATTAGTAATTTCTTTTCTGTATGTGTAATGATTATTTTGTCCAGTCAATTGGAGCCCTAAGTAACATCCTGCGAAACATGTTCCAAAAAATTTAACAAACTTAGGAAAAAGCCATGTTCAGACCCTTCTCTCTGAACTTTCCACATAGGGAGTACGCCAGGGCACTGACTTGATTTTAACCTCTATGTGAGAGTAAAATATATGTTATGTATTTAACACATACACATGTACACTATGTATAATTGGAGAGTGTTTTTAAAAAATATTTTCTTAGTGGTAATTTTTGTTTCAAAAAATAAACTACATGAAGATACTTTAATTCTTAAACTCCTGGGCTGTGGTGGATTATACGGTAGAAGTAGAAATGTTCTGAAGCTAGAAATAGGCTGCAGATAAGTAAATCCAATGTCTACAGTTGGCCAAGTATTTATTTTCCTATGGCTGTATGTAATTTGGAACTCATCAGTCTGGAAGGTCTCAGGAAGCTCTGATAAGAAGAGTATCTTCAGGAGGTAGACTCTATCCACTTAATTTTCTCTCACCTTGAGCTGCTGGATTTAGTTCCACGGCTGCATTGGCAGCCTGCAGATTGCACTGTTAGGTGCACTCAGGGCCTAAGTTTAATCTTCAGACATTTTTCCAAACAGAAATGACTCTGGGCCAGAGATTCTTTGTTTTTGTTTCTTTCCTATTCCAACCAAGTTGGATTCCTTTTCTCACAATTTGGATCTTGTCATTGCATTTCATATGAGCAAGGCAGTTGGCTTCAGAGATTCCTATATTTGGTGATAGCAAATTATGTTCAGCATTTTTACAAAGTTCTTTTAAATCATTTATCGTGGTTAACTGGACATGTTGGCTGTATGCCTGGTACAAAAATTAAAGATTAGTTAATTGGATGCACTAGGTACATCGCCGTCAGCTCAATGTAGAACACATGATGAACTCTCTTACCTCCTCTAAGTGCTGTCCTCACTCCTCCGGTCTAAAAGTCATGCAGCTTTTTCTTGTTCAATACTATTGACTGCTCTATAGAAAGAAACAAGAGGAAAAAAGTCCCCAACTTTCGAGCCCACAAAGCTATATTTGCCAGAAAACTGGAATATATTCAGCTTTCATAATAAAACATTTTCATATGTTCCTTTGGGGGAGCTAGGATATATTTTCTCAGAATTTGATTTCACATGTACAGGTGGTCCGTGAGGGTAAAAGTAAACTATCCACCCTGAGCTCCCAACATAGTGAAGAAATAGGAAATAGAGAAATACATGCACACAGACACTAAATGGGAATTAGAGAAATAAACACACTCTGTAAGTGTTAAACTATGAAATCAACACATAATGGCACTGAGCAGAGATATGTAAAATCTCTTTAAAAGGGCAGAACTCAATGATCTGTCTTAGGGCTTTAAGGCTTGGCTGCTGCTGGACTCAGGTATAAATGCATATTCAAAGAAAAAACACCATGTATGTTATTTATAAAAGGAAATATAGAAATGTTACATGGCAACTGTTTTGGTTGTTACATAATAGAGCTATATTAACTTTGCTTCATCCTTGCTATTCATTCCATGTGCATTTTTTTCCAATCAAAGATACTCAATGGAATAAAAATATTTTTCCCTTTTTTAAAAAAAAGTGTTCTATTTGCTAACATAGTGGATGTGCTTTAAAGCTGTGATTAAGCACGCTCATCTGACTTGGTTGGGACAGAAGCTCCTATACCCTCTCAGTTTGTTAAGCTACAGTTGAAATATTTTGATAAGAGAAAACAGGAAACAGCTCTACAAACAAAGGTACATTCAGGGTGGAATCAAAACTTTTTCTTCATGGGAAATAAACTACCAATAGCTCTGTTTTCTTCTGAGCAGAGGAGAGCTGGCATAGAATATGGCTTCTTATACCACTGAAACATTCATTGAAATTAGGTCTCATGAATGAAACATATTGACTGTCATACCCTTTGGTTCAACCCCTCAGCAGCTGTCCAACTAACCAGGCTTCATAGACAGAAAGTTGAGAAAAACCGTCTGCTTCAAGGACACACCCAGAACACATACTTAGAATGCCCTTCCCATACCCCAACTTCCATACTCACTCTGTCCTACCCAGCAAACAGTTGGCAACCAAATACATATTAAATTTGATTGTACCATAAAGATAATCATACCGACCAATCATCTGCATGGGGTATCACTGATCTCCTAAAAACTTCCAGTTGCTGGAAATTTTGACTGAATTTTGACCATCAGGTTTGATGTTTCCCTACCCACACCCGTTTAAAAAAAAAAATCTACTGCACGCCTCATTCTTCTGATTTGAGTGATTGTGTCATGATTACTTAATTTGCTTTTCATACTTTGCAGTGAAATTTAGATAGCTCAGATGTTTAACTCTTGAAAAAATGGTTACCAGTCATACATAACAACTACTTTAAGAAATGTCATGGGTGGGTGCGGTGGCTTATGCCTATAATCCCAGCACTTTGGGAGGCCAAAGTGGGAGGAGCTCAGGAACTGGAGACCAGGCTGGGTAACATGATGAGATCCCATCCCAGGAGGTCGAGGCTGCAGTAAGCCATGTTTGAGCCACTGCACTCCAGCCCGGGTGACAGAAGGAGACCTTGTCTCAAAAAAAAAAAAAAGAAAGAAATGTCACAAGGATGTTTATAACTTATTTCTGGGCTTGTTCAGTAAAGCATACAAACCAACTTATATATTTCTATCCCGCATCAAATGTGATCTTAAAAACAAAGGCACAGCTCAAGCCAATCAAAGCAGGTGTACCCTCACTGGCAACACTGTGGTGCTGCTTTTCCTCACTCTAACATGTTTCTACATGTAAAAATAATACCATTCTTATGGTATATGAGTGCACATATGTGGTCAAAACCACCAAATGTAAATAAAAGGTGGTCAGGGCACCATTTTATGACTGTCCACAGGACTTGAAGCTTTGGCCACGAGGAAAAGAGAACTCTGAAGCAAAAACCTCAATGGAAACAATGGCCCAGGGGTTTAGTGGTCATTGGTCATGGGCCCCAGGGAACGGCTGTGCAGCCGGCCCCAAACCGCAGTGAAGTCAATGAACTCACAGATCCCTAACATCATACATGAAAGCATTGGAAGAAAACATTTAGGTTGAATAAATGGATTCTGAGATGACAGGGACTTTGCAAAGGGTCTGTCATTCCTCAGGGCCACACCCTGACAAAAATCCTCTCCAACTTCTGACTGTTGTCTGAAATCGCACAAGTAAATTCTAATTTTCTTTGGCTTAGGGCTTTCTTCAGCATTTTTAAAATAAAAATATTTGCGAGAGATATAATACTGTATGCTCCTCTTACTGGTGCCCTAATGTGAATAAGGAGGAGAATATTCCTAAAACAAAATGTGTCCATAGGGCACAGGGACATAGGGAGAACCTGACTGCAATGGTCCTTGGGAAGAGGATGCTATGGAAGGTGGGGATCAGGGGGCTTGATGCTCACCTGTGTGCCAATGGCCTCCCTGGTGCCCTTCTTAACTTTCATTTCCATGGAAAACTCTAGTATCTCAGCTCCCCGTTGGTGATCCCCTGCAAAGTTGAAACAAACAGGGAATGGGCTGTTTGGTTGCTGAGCAAAGGAAAGAGCTACTGATCCACAGAGGTCGTGTTGTGTAGTAGAAATGAAGGGGGCTTGCGGTTGGGAAACACTGTTGTAGCTCTCTATGGCTTTTAGGTCTTTCTGTGTGATCAACTCTCCTCTTGTGGAGGATCAACCCTGTCTAGATATTTACAAAATTAACACTTCAAGTTAATTCCTAAACCCAGCCCAGCCCTGAGAGCCTGCCAATGCGCAGGGCTGCAGAAGCTCTTCCACAGTGAGGAGTGGCAATCAGTGGCTCTCAGGAGATGGGCCAACATCCCTCCCCCGTTCCTTGCTCTCTGCCACCACCATGTCTCTGCCCAGAGATGCAAGATTTGTTTTGCACCTTTCTGAGTGGATCTGAAAGCCTTTTACAGACAAGAATGAGGGTTAACCCAGGACAGAACTCTTAGTTTGTATTCATCAGATTACACTTGGCTAAAGACACAGTCACAGTTGGAAGCAGGAACAGACTCCATCCTTCCTAAGAAGTCTGGTAGGGATTTTGTAATCACAGGATAAGTCTGGAGTATGAGACAAATCTCAAATAAGCTCAGAAATGTGGCAGAGGTGTGCCTCACTGTGACCTACATGCTACATATGCTGTTTCCTTTAATCCAATCAGCCAGGTGATAGTAGTGGCCGTGGGTATCGGACAATAACAACAACAAACATTTCCATAGGATTTACTATGTGCCGGACACTGTTCAAAGGCCCTTACATACATTCATTGAGAACAATCCTTAGAGACAGGTACTACTACTGTCCTTCCATTTGACAGATGAGAAAACTGAGGCACTAAGGAGATTAAGTAACTTACCCAAGTTACTTATTGCACACAACAATAATTACAACTTATTACACTTTAATTTCTCACAATATCTATTACTGTTAGTGCCCTTATTTTGCAGATGAGGAAACTGAGTCTCAGAGGCCTGAAATACTTATCTAAAAGTCAAACAGTGTTGAAGTGATGGCACGGCCTGCCTCTAAAATTTGGGGAGCTTGGAGTTACAAATAGACTCTATGTGTACTCTTGCCCCAAGCTCCCCAAATGTTAGAGCCTATTTGTACTCTTGTCCCAAGCTCCCCAAATATTCCATGAATAAATGGAATATTTGTTCATATTCCATTTGAATAAATATGCAAAAATTATATATCAGGCTAACAGTTAGACATGTTCTGTCCTCCTACTTTGACAAATAAACCTTTGTAACAACCAGGAAGCCTAGATTCAAATTTAGAATGTTCAGACTCCTTGGTCTGAGCCAGAAAGAGGCAGTATACCATGGAGAATCAGACCTTAGCCCCTGGCCTGGTGCCCTTCTCTTCTCACCTTTGAAATTCAAATATGGATACTCCAGTGTGTGCCATCCACCTCTTCTTCATACTGTCTGCAAACGGCTATCCCTAGGGCACCTAGAACTCTAGGGCATACACATCCTTGGGAGGACAGACCCCAAAAGAGGCCCATACAGGCCCTGGAAACAGGTGCAGGGCCGCTCGCACAGGGAATTCTGGAGTCTCAGGACCTGGAACATGGTCTTGAGGGGTATATATGGGCTCTGGTGGACTCTTCACAGAGTGGAGTGAGCCTTGAGGAGGGCCAGGGCCCTTTAGAGGTCATAGCTCAGGGCAGAGGACCCTCTTGTCTGGGTCAGAGAGTGGTGCTGGTGATAGTGCCAGGGCTTTACCTGCCTCTGGCCAACTCCAATGTCCTTGCTACACAAAACCACTGTTCCTGTCACTCCCTTGCCTCTGTTGCCTCCAGTTTTCATGCCACTGAGATTCGAAGTGGGTAGAGGGAACACCGTGGGAAAGAGGGAACCCTAAGAACAGGGTGGGGGATGATGGAGGGTGAGGAGGGGAAGGAGCCCGAGAGCTTTCCCTCACTCATTCCCACACTTCCTTTTCCCACTGGGTCCCGCCTCTGGCCTTGGATACACAAACACTGCTCAGAACAAATCCAAGTCATGACCACACCCTTTCCTTGTTTATGGACACAAAGCAGGGAGAGAATAGGAACAGCCTTGAAAATGGGGTTCTTTCAGAAATTGTTCATTCTCCCCTAACCTGGAAGATAGGACTTTTGAAGATCGCCTGGACTAGCCAGCCCCTGCTACTGCTGTTACTTCCTAGCACCTGGCAAGGGCTATTCACATGGACTTAAGAGGGATCCTGTCAATCTGTCCAGGCTTCTAAATTTAGTTTCCATAGATAAATGCAATTTCCTGTGTTAGCTATCATAATTAAAACTTTCCACAGGCTTAATGTTGTATTGTTGACGTTCAAATGTCATCACTCACAGTGTCATGCTTCCTTTTTTAAAGAACAAAATTAACACCCCCACTAACCAACAGCTCCCAAGCCCCCAGCGGTAGAGCTAAAACTCCCGTAAACCCCTGGCCGTGGCTACCAGTTGCTGCAGTGCGATGCCTCCGGCAGTCCAGCCCTCCCCTCCGCCGACCTGACATCAAGAATCAGAGACAGTCCTCCTGCCTGAACACCAGAGTGCAAGTGTCCTAGGCCTGGGACCTCGGAAAACCACCCACACCAGCGTAAACATAAAAAGGAGGCCAGAGTTGGCCAGAGAACGTATCAGATGTCGCCAAAGGGACTGGAATCAGAAACAGGAAAGGTGTCAGGAACTGATCTCTCTTCCTGCCACCCTGCTATTACACCACGGTGGTTTCCCGTGCCTCTACTTTCTCCCTGCTGACCACTTTTCTCTGTTTCACTCTTTCACCCCAAATGGCTGCCCAGATAGTCCCGCAAGTCCTCTCCTTTGGAGCATGTGCGGCTCAATTCCAAATAGAGAGAATATGATTGGCTCAACTTGAGTCATGTGCATATGTCTGGTCCACTCAGCTGTATATCAAGAGGATGGGTGGAGTCGGGGCCCTTACAAATAAGCCTGCAGGGCCCGTTCTTGGGGTAGAGTGAGTGAGAAGTGTCCACAGCAAGGTGGGCTTGAGCAAAGGTTCTGAAGGTGGGCTTACTATGCCCAGTTCAATATCCAGATTATACACATGTTTGAAAGTTATAGCGCTACTGTTTTACCTTTGCCTTAACTGTTTGGTTGATAAGCAGTCTGAGGTTAAGTTTCATATCTGTGCTTGTTCTGTGGCACATAGTGCACCTTTATTTACCGAGAATCATCGTCATGGCAATAACTTTATCATCCTACCTCCTACTATTAAAACCTTTTTGACTGTTACGGAGCTGTACTAAAAGGCCAAAATTAGAAGTAGGAATCAACATTGCCGAGAAGTAGTTATGATCACTACTTTGCATTTTGCCTGGCTGAAGCCTGTTGGAACTTGCATGGAATATGGCTATTGTCAACCTGTATGTAAAACAATAGCCAATTCTACACTCTGAAATATCATAAACCTCTCAGTCCATAAATCTTAGACGAGGATATCTGAGGAATTTCTGGCAGATACACCAAGAAAGATTGCCAATCTAGATGTTAGAGGAATTTGTTGATTCTCCAGCCAACCAAGAACATTAACACTTCACCCGTATTCCAGAGGAATGCAATTATTTTGTACAGTTGGACAGTCTTTAGGGAATGGGCAATATTGCTATTACATATTTTAAGAAACATGCATCTGGTTTCTCTGATATTAATGTTCGTGGAGAACAAAGCACTCATTGCAAACTAAATTTTGGGCATGGTATAGTCTGTGCTGCCAGATGAAGTTTCAATGTAAAAAAAAAAACAAAAAAACACTTTTTTCTTGCTAGAATGACTAAAGAAAAATTTTGTGTACCAAAATCAAAACTGTAAACTAAAGTCCATTAATCCCTTTACTCATTCATCTGTTGTTCATTGCGCATTTGCTCTGTCCTAGGCACTGCACTAGATGCTGCATATACAGAGACAAAGGACACAATTCTTGCCCTCATCACACTCACAGTCTAGCAGCAAAGACGGATTCATGAACCAAAAATGACAGTGTGATGTACTAAGGTTAATAAGTACACATAAAATGTTAAGGGAGGACATAGGAGGGACTTGTAACTCAGCCTGGGTTGGGTGGGGTTAGGGAAAACTTCCTGATGGAGAATAAAGCCTGAGTTGACGTTTAAAGTTGAAAACAGAGTTAACCAAGCAAATGAAGTTGGAAGCATGAAAGAGCACGATGAACTGTGGATATGGGTGATGACTTGTTTTGGCTGGAGGTTAGGCCAGGAGTCGTAGGGATGGGACTGGAAAAGTTGACCTGGGGCCAGGTCATAGAGCCTCAGGCCTTGCTGAAGTTTTGGGACTTTATTCTAGGATGATATGGAGTTTTCAGAAAAATTTTTAAAGAAAACTTTTTATTGAAGTGTAAAATATATGCAGAAACATGCATATATAAGTATTCAGCTTGATAAATTTTCATGAGCTGAATATAGCTGTGTAGCCAGAAGCCAGATCATAACACACCCAGCATCCTGGAAGCCCCCTGCTGTTTCCTTCCAGCCACTACTTCCCTCTCCAAGGTTGACCACTGGCCTGATTTCTAACACCATGGATTTGTTTTGCCTGTCTTTGAATATTATTTAAGTGAAAGTTTAAACTATGTACTCTTTTGTGTCTGGCTTCTGTCAGCAAGATGTTTGTCAGCTTTAACCATAGTGTGTTCAGTCTCATGGTTGTATGATATCCCGTTGTATGGGTATCTGTAACTTATTTATTCCTCCATTATGTATCAACATTTGAATTCTTTCCTATTTAAGGCTATTATGACTTGTGCTGTGGTGAATATTCTTGTGTATGTCTTTTGGTGTGTATATGTTTGCATTTCCTTTGGATAAAATATCTGTGAGTAGAATCTCAAAGGCTGAGCATATATTCAGCCTTATTGGATTCAGCTCAACAGTTTTTACAAAGTGATTGGACTAAAGTCCCAGCATCAGTTTATGAGAATTCCAGTTGTTCCAGTTTGCAACATATGATGTTGGTTTTTAAATTCATTTTAGCCATTCTAGTGTTTGTGTAGTTGTTATGGACTGAATTGTGTGTATCCCCACTCCTTGCCCCAATCATGAAGACCGAATCCCAAGAGTGATTGTATTTGGAGAGAGGGCCTTTAAGAGGTAATTAAGGTTAATGAGGTCATAAGGGTGGAGCTCTTATCCATTAGGACTGGTGTTCTTGT